GTCATTTACTAATTCACTAACTCTCTTTATCTCTTTAACAATGAATGACGTTTGGCCTGGAGTGGTGGCTCACGCCTGTAATCCCAGCACTTTGGGAGACCAAAGCGGGCGGATCACGAGATCAGGAGACAGAGACCATCCTGGCCAACATGGTGAAACCCTGTCTCTACTAAAAATACAAAAATTAGCTGGGTGTTGTGACTTGTGCTTGTAATCCCAGTTACTTGGGAGGCTAAGGCACAAGCATCCCCTGAACCCAGAAGGCGGAGGTTGCAGTGAGCCAAGATTTCGCACCACTGCACTCCAGTCTGGCGACAGAGCGATACTCCATCTTGGGAAAAAAAAAAATGATGTTCGTAAATGCTCATAGGGAGACTATTAGGACTTAAACACTGCCTATTGACATTGTAATAGTCATACTTACAGGGCCCTGCTGTGCACATCAATCGGGCATGCTTTTAAAGTCAGACATAATTTACTGTATAATGTCTGCTAGTAAATTTGAGCATATGATGATCTCAAATATATCTTGTCAGAAAGCAAGCCACTCAGCTGCAAGAAACATGCGGTATCTATAAATAAAGGCTCCCACCTTTGCATCAAGATGAATCTCCATGATAATTTCCTTTCCTCTGGCTTCTCTCCTATTGTGAGTGGGGAGCCTTCTGGGAAGAAGGGTAGAAGCTTGGCTTTAGTTCTCCAAGATTTACAACCACATACCATATTGAATGGAGTGCTCACAAAACTGAACTTTCTACCTGTCCAAAGATACCTGTCAAGTTTTTTTTTTTTTTTTTTTTTTTAATTTTATTTTTTTAAGTTCTGCATTCTCTGGAGTTGAAAGGGGGATCTTTTTGCTGCTTTTTGGTCTTTTGCTTTCTTTCTTCAATAATTTCAACCTATAAAAATTGACTTGAATATTAGGTTTGATCCAAAAAGAAACATCAACACCTGGCAACAGCTGGAATTCTCTTTTCCAGGACTGGGAGTACAGAGATGTATTAGAGATTTTCTATAAGTGGTCTTTTCTCTTTTTAAACTTGGGGAAAGTCAATTCTTAAATCTGCAGATAAAAGCCTTAAGGTCCACTTCTCCCCCTGGCAATTTATATTTAAAACAACTTCAGATCCCACATAGGTTGGCTCATATTTAGATGCAGAGAATGGCTCATATTTAGAGGTTGAGAAACACTAAAGTGAAACGCCCTCAATCACATCATTGTTCCCTTGCATGGGAGAGTTCAGAGAAATCCAGCCCTCTGGCAGATTGTAACCAAAAGTATGTTACAATTCTCAAATTTAAAAGATTTCTTTGGACAGAAGTTTCTCTTTACAGGAACATTGAATTGTTTTTTCCCCCCTTTTATGTCTTTAGAATATTTTGTCCACTTTGGTAATCTTCCAATCTGGTTATTTGGGTTTACCTGTGGGGAAGTCAGAAGGACTAGTATTTTGCAAACCACTTAAAACCGCCATTGAAATGGCATCCAGTCAAGAACATTCTGCCTTGAAACTGGCAGCCCCAATTCTACCTCCAGCTCATAGTGTGACCTTGGGAGTCTCCTTTTTCTGAGTTTCATTTTCCTTCTCAGAAAAACGCTGAGATTGGATTAATCCTCCATTTCCAGCCCTCCACAGGGCATTTTGTCAGATGGCAAATCAGGAAGGGGAGATGTCATGGATGGTCATTAACAGTGGCTTTGCACTGCATTGATCACACCACATGTCACTTCATCTCTGGACAGGGACTTCCTGCAGCTCTTTAAAAACCTGGGGTACTTGTTTTATGGCCTTTCAGGAGCCTCAATCTTAAAACACATGAATATCTAGATTGTTTCTTCCTTCAGCAGTAACATATCTGGTGTTTGTAGTACACTTTCAATTTATAAAGAATTTTCTGATTTGGTGTCTCGTTTAATCAAATGCTCATACTACTGTCACTTGAAGAAGGTGTATAGAAAAGACATCTGCACACCTACCCAAAAGCTCTTAGAACTATCACTGAAAATTCTCAGCAGGCATTCAGGTGGGCTGGCAGTCCATCCATCCATCCATCCATCCATCCATCCATCCATCCATCCATCCATCAGGTGGGCTGGCAGACCATCCATCCATCCATCCATCCATCCATCCATCCATCCATCCATCCCCATCCATCCATCCATCCCCATCTATCCATCCATCTCCATCCATCCATCCATCCATCCATCCATCCATCCATCCATCCATCCTTTTGATACCTGACACAGGGAACTCATTCTCTAACATGAAGGTATACAGGACATTTGACCTCATATATCTTTTTCTTCTTTTTTAAAAATTTGTTTTAGAAGTTTACATTTAATAAATTTCACTATTTTTTGATGGACAGTCTATGAGTTTCAATGAGTGCCTGGAGCTCTTGTAACCACTGCCATAAGTAAGTTATAGGACAGTTCCATCACTCCACCCACCTTCAAAAAAATTTCTGTCTAGCTACCTCTTTGTAGTCAAACACTTGCTCCACTCTTAACTCTTGGCAATCACTAATCTTGTTTCTGTTCCTATAGTTTTGCCTTTTCCAGAATGTCATTATCAAGGAAATCATATCATGTGTGGTTGAGTCTGGCTTCTTTCACTGAACATAATGCATGTGAGATTCACTTGCAACGTTTCATGTAACAATAGTTGGCTCTCATTTATTGCTGAGTAGTCATTTATTGTATAAATGTACCATAGTTTGTTTACATTTTTAATTCATTCCCCAGTTGAGGGATCTTTGGGTTGCTTCTAGGTTTTGATGATTATGAATAAGGCATCAATAAACATTCACATATAGGTTTTTTTGTACAAACATAGGTTTTCATTATATTTGTATAAATATCTAGAAGTGGGATAACTAGATCATATTGTTAAGTGTATGTTTAACTTTAAAACAAACTGTCAAACTGCTTTCCAAAGTGACTGTATTATTTTGCACTCTCACCAGCAATGTGTAAGAGTTCCAGTTACTCCACATCCTCACCAGCACTTGGTATCCTCAGTTTTGGGGGGTGTGTGTGTGTGTGTGTGTGTGCGCGCGCGCGCACGTGAGTAGTCTTGTTAATAGGTATGTAGTAGTATTTCATTGTAGTTTTACTTGTATTTCCCTAATGACTAGTAGTGTTGAACATCACTTGATGTGCTTTTTCGGACATCTGTATATCTTACTTGATGAAGTGAATGCTCACATTTTTTGTGATTAAAAAAACAAGGTTTTCTTTCTTCTGCATTTTGAGAGTTCTTTGAATATGCGGGAAACAAGTCCTTTGTCAAACATATGATTGGCAAATATTTTCCCCAGTCTTTGGTTCACCTTTCATTTCCTTACCCGCATCTTTTAAAATATTTTCAATATTTGTTTATTTTTTAGAGACAGGGTCTTGCTCTATTGCCTGGGCTGGAGTGCAGTGGCATGATCACAGCTCACTGCAGCCTTGAACTTCTGTGCTCAAGCAATACTCCTGCCTCAGCCTCTTGAGTAACTAGGACTACAGGCATGTGCCATCCACACCCAGCTAATTTTTTATTTAAAAAACTTTTCTGGGCAGATGTTATCTTGCCATGTAGCCCAAGCTGGTCTTGAAATCCCGGCCTCAAGTGATGTTCCTGTCTTGGCCTCCCAAAGTGCTGGGATTACAGGCATGAGTCACCATGCCTGGCCAAGGTCTGTTTGTTTTTTGCACATAGATGTTCAGTTCCATCACTGGTTGTAAAGATCATCCAGGTGTGCTCAATGTAATCGCAAAGGGTCCTTATGAAAAATGCAGGAGGGTCAGAGTCAGAGAAGGAGAGGCAATGACAGAACCAGAGATTGGAGTGATGTCCTTGCTGAAAGGGGCCAAGAACCAGGAACCGAGGAATGTAGGCAGCCTCTAGATGCTGGAAAAGGCAAGGAATAGATTCTCCTCTAGAGCCTCCAGAAACAACATGTCTCTACTGATACCTTGATTTTACCATGTAAAACCCATTTTTGGGCTTCTGACTGCCAGAACTGTAAAATAATCAAGTTGTATTGTTGTATAATAACCACTATGTTTATGGTAATATTTTACAGTAGCAATAGGAAACCAATATAAAAAGCTGCATTGAATTGCCTTTACACTTCTGTCAAAATCAACTGACTATATTCACATGAAACTATTTCTAGATTCTTTATTCTGTTCCATATTTCTATGTGTCCATACTTTTTGCCTACACAACACTGATATATCTTTTTTTTTTTTTTGAGATGGAGTCTCGCTCTATTGCCTGGGCTGGAACGCAGTGGTGTGATCTTGGCTCACTGCAACCTCTGCCTCCCAGGTTCAAGTGATTTTCCTGCCTCGGCCTCCCCAGTAGCTGGGACTACAGGTTCATGCCACTACGCCTGGCTAATTTCTGTATTTTTTGTAGAGGTGGGGTTTCGCCATGTTAAGCAGGCTGGTCTGGAACTCCTAACCTCAAGTGATCCACCCACCTCAGCCTCCCAAAGTGCTGGGATTACAGGCATGAGTCACTGCACCTGGCATATTTTTTGCTTTTTTTTTTTTTTTTTTTTTTTTTCAAGACAGAGTCTCGCTGTCTCCCAGGCTGGAGTGCAGTGGCATGATCTCAGCTCACTGCAAGCTCTGCCTCCCGGGTTCACGCCATTCTCCTGCCTCAGCATCCCGAATAGCTGGGACTACAGGCGCCCGCCACCTCGCCCGGCTAATTTTTTGTATTTTTAGTAGAGACAGGGTTTCACCGTGTTAGCCAGGATGGTCTCGATCTCTTCACCTCATGATCCGCCCACCTCAGCCTCCCAAAGTGCTAAGATTATAGGCGTGAGCCACCGCGCCCGGCCTGGCATATTTTTTTTTAACCTGTCTTGAATTCTCTTATTTTCACTGCTTCATATCTTTAGGATATGAAAAGTTGGTCAGTTGTAGTGAGAAGGATCCCAAAACATAAGGATTAAAAAATGGCAAGTTTCGGGATAGACATCTGTATTAGATTTTTTTCCAGAAAGAAAGAACTAAAATTGTATTTGTTTGTAGATTGCATGTTCTACTGTGTAGAAAATCACAAAAGTCAACCAAAATACTACTGGAACTAATAAACACATTCAGTGTATTTGCAGAATACAATATCAGCACCAAAAATTAGTTAAATTTCCATACATTAAACAATTTTAAAAGAAAATTAAGAAAACACTTCCATTTGCTAGAGAACTTACAGTAAGAAATACTTAGGAATAAATGTAAAAAGGCGATAAGTTTGCACCTTAAAATCTACAAACATTGATCAAAATTATTAAAAACATATATAAAATAGAGATACAACCCCTATTGATGGATTGGAAAAATTAATATTGTTAAATGATTATATAACCCAGTGTGATTTAGATTCAACACAATACCCATAAAAATCCCTATCAGTTTTTGATAAAGAAACAAAAAACAGGCTGGGAAAAGTGACTCATGTCTGTTGGCCAGGCTGGTCTCAAACTCCTGACCTCAAGTGATCTATCCATCTTGACCTCCCAAAGTGCCAGGATTACAAGCATGAGCCACCCTGCCCAGCCCAATCCTCTTAACATAAACACTTTAATGTCAATTAATGCTTGAACTCAATGTCAAGTAAACTCAAACTCAAGTCAATGCTGAATTGACTCTAATGTGAATTAATGCTTGATGGTTTGCTATACTCATTGCATTTGGAATAAGTATCTCAAAAATGAATTTTCTGCTGTTCCGCAAGGAGTGACTTCTGACTGAAGACCTTGCTATGCTTATGACATTTGTAAGATTTCTGTCCAATATGGATTCTCTGATGTCTAATAAGGTGTAAATGTGAAGTAAAGGCTTTGCCACAATTATCACACTTCTGAGGTTTCTCTCCTGTATGAATTCTCCTATGTTTAGCATAAGATGAAGCTTGACTGAAGACCTCGCCACAATCATCACATTTGTAAGGTTTCTCTCCAGTATGAGTTCGCTGATGAACTGCAAGGTTTGAATGATGTCTGAAAAATTTGCCACATTTATTACACTTGTAAGATCTCTTTCCATTATGGATTCTCCAGTGATTTGCAATGGTTGTAGTGTTACTGAAGACTTTGTGACAATCGTTACATTAGTAAAGTTTCCCTATACCATGGATTGCTTGATGGTGAGTAAGTGTTGACTGCCCCCTAAAGGCTTTGCCACACTCATTACACTTGTAAGGTTTCTCTCCAGTGTGAATTCTAGTATGCCGTGCCAGGTGTGAAGCACGCCTGAAAGCCTTGTCACAAACCTTACACTTGTATGGTTTGTCTCCAAAATGAATTCTCCTATGTCTTTCAAGGTTTGACTGGCGACTGAAAACTTTGTCACATTCTTCATATTTGTAAGGTTTCTCTCCAGTATGAGTCCTCATATGTGTTTCCAGGTGTGATTTGCGACTGAAAACTTGTCACATTCTTCACATTTGTAAGGTTTCTCTCCAGTATGAAGTCTACGATGGCATACAAGGGATGACGTCTGACTGAAGGTCTTGCCATGCTCATTACACTGGTAAGGTTTCTTTCCAGTATGAGTTCGCTGATGAACTGCAAGATTTGAATGATGTCTGACAAATCTGCCACATTTATTACACTTGTAAGATCTCTCTTCATTATGAATTTTCCAATTATTTGCAATGGTTGTAGTGTTACTGAAGACTTTGTGACAATCATTACGTTTGTAAAGTTTCCCTATACCACGGATTGCTTGATGGTGAGTAAGTGTTGACTGCCCACTAAAGGCTTTGCCACACTCATTACACTTGTAAGGTTTCTCTCCAGTATGAATTCTCTTTTGTGTTTCAAGGTGTGATTTGCGACCGAAAACTTTGTCACATTCTTCACATTTATAAGGTTTCTCTCCAGTATGAAGTCTACGATGACGTGCAAGGGTTGCTTGTTGATTAAAATCCTTGCCACATTCATTACACTTGTAAGGTTTCTCTCCAGTATGAAGTCTGTGATGACATGCAAGGGTTGCCTGTTGATTAAAAACCTTGCCATGTTCATTACACTTGTAAGGTTTCTCTCCGGTATGAATTGCTTTATGAATTACAAGGGCTGAATTGTGACAGAAGGTCTTACCACACTCATTACAATTGTAAGGTTTCTCTCCAGTATGAAGTCTATGATGGCATACAAGGGATGACATCTGAGTGAAGGTCTTGCCACACTCATGACACTTGTAAGTTTTCTCTCCAGTATGAGTTCGCTAATGAACTGCAAGATATGAACAATGTCTAAAAAATCTGCCACATTTATTACACTTGTAAGATCTCTCTTCATTACGGATTCTCCAATGATTTGCAATGGTTGTAGCATTACTGAAGACTTTGTGACAATCATTACATTTATAAAGTTTCCCTACACCATGGATTGCTTGATGGTGAATAAGTGTTGACTGCCCACTAAAGGCTTTGCCACATTCATTACACTTGTAAGGTTTCTCTCCAGTGTGAATTCTAGTATGTTGTACCAGGTGTGAATCACGCCTGAAAGCCTTGTCACAAATCCTCCATTTGTATAGTTTCTCTCCAGTATGAATTCTCCTATGTCTTTTAAGATTTGATTTGTGACTAAACATTTTGTCACATTCTTCACATTTGTAAGGTTTCTCTCCAGTATGAAGTCTATGATGACTTGCAAGGTTTGACTGATTAAAAACCTTGCCACATTCATTACACTTGTAAGGTTTCTCACCAGTGTGACATCTACGATGGCATACAAGGTATTGCTTCTGATTAAAGACCTTGCCACATACATCACATTTATATTGTTTCCCTCCTAAATGAATTATCTGATGTTTCCTTACGAGTGAGCTACAATTAAAGGCTCTGACACTCTCATTATATTGGAAACATTTTTCTCTCATGTGTACTCCCTGTTTTTGTGTGAGTACTGACGAATGGAGGAAATTATTTGCATAGTTATTAGAAATATGGATTTTGGGCCTAGAAGAAATTCTTTGGGACGTTGGAACCGAGGAAGTATCGTTGATAGACTTCTCAACTTGATTACCAACTTTCCCTTTGGTCTGAAATATGTGGAGTTCAGGAAGATGTGAACGAAAGCTTCATCCAAGCTGATCTTTAATAGGCTTGTTTCCAGCATGCCTTCAATCATATCTGTCTGTGCTATTTCTTTCATCTTCTTGCCACTGAAACTCAAAGTCATGAATATCTTTCCCAATTTCCTGGAAGCAAAAATCTCCAATGTGATGACTTTCATGTCTATCCAATGTCCCCATGTGGAACACTTCTGTATTGCCTTGCCCTGTTGATGAGAACTTCTTCATCATGCATTTGGAAGAGATATCCACAGAATGCAGGTTCCTGTAGTTCTCCAACATCATGGCCCTGTATAAAGCCCTCTGTGCAGGGTCCAGGCATTTCCACTCCTCCAAAGAGAATTCTATAGCCACATCCCTAAAAGTCAAGTGTCCCTGAGGAAAAGCCATGCCTGGCTCTTTTTCTGTCCTCTTCTGAGCTGCTTCCTCACATAACATAAGTCTTTAGAAATCAATAGCACTGCAGTGTGACCTTCACTGAGGCGATTCACTTCCGGGTCTGTATTAGTTATCTGTTGTCGAGAAACAAATTATCACAAACTTCGTGGCTTAAGGCAACAAACACTGATTATCTCACAGTCGCTGTAGGTCAGGGGTCTGGAGGCATTTCAGGTGGGTGTTCCTGGCTCAGTGTCTCTCATGGGTTGTAGTCAAGCTGTGGGTCATGGCTGCAGTCATCTCAAGGCTTGACTGGTGACAACCCCCATCCAACGTCACTCATATGGCCGTTAGCAGGTCTCAGAAAATCTGCTTATAAGGTGACTGACACAATGGCTGGCACACCTTCATGCCTCCTGCCTGGGCTGTCCATTGGTGGCCTGAGTATCCTTATGTCATGGCAGCTGGCTTTCCTAGAGTGACTGATGATAGAGAGAAAGACAGGGGGAGAGAGAAAGAGAGAGAGAGCGAGAGTGAACGCTCACCTCTTTATAACCTGATCTTGGATATGATATATCATGACTTCTGCCATATTGTATTCATTAGAATTGAGTCATTAAATTCATCCCACACTCAAGAGAGGAGGAATTAAGCTTCACCTCTAAAGAAGAAGAATCTATAGGCATAGCTTTGAAATCACTACAGTCTGCCCTCTGGCCACAAATTTTTTTATATTCCTCCCACATGTAGAACACACTCATCCTACTCCTCAGTGGCCCCCAGGGTCTCATCCCATTACTGCACTAGCTTCAAGTCCACAATCTCACCATCTAAGTCAGGTCTAGGTAGGAGAGGCTCCTCAGGTTAGTAAGTTTAGCTCCGTAAGTGCCGTTCCTCTGATCTGTGAAACTAAAGAGGGGTTATCTGCCCCTTCACACTCAAAACACGATGGTAAAGCAGACACAGGATAACTGTTCCAGATATTCTTGTTCAAAAAGGGGGAAACAGGAGGTGCAAAGCGGTCAGTGGTCCAAGGCAATTTTGAAAGCCAGTCAAGCAAATGTTGCAAGTTCCTTGATTAGGTCTCAAGGCCTGGGAATACTTCTCTGGGGTTCTTGGCTTACCTCTCCGAACCCTTGGTTTTGCCCTCTTAATCATCCTTCCCTTATCACAAAAGGCAACATGTGTTTGCTCCATTTTCCTAAACCAAGTTTATAAATATTTTTTTCCTATGTTTTCCCCCGAAAATCTGATGGTTTTACAGTTCACATTTTGGTTTTTGATCCATTTGGAGGTGGCTTTTGCATAAAGTGTGAAGTATAGGTCTTTCAATTTTTGCTTATAAATGTCCGTCTTCTAGCACTGTTAGTTGAAATGTGGCAAAGTGACATTATACCAGTTCCCAGACTAGGCTTCAGGATGCCCTTCCTGCTTCCTCTCTTTGGAACCCTCCCCATGCCATGAGAACAAGCCTGGGCTGGTCTATTAGAGGATGAGAGACCCTGTGGAGGAGAGACAGCCCAGCCCGAACAAGGCCAGCCTAGTCCATCCAGCCAATGGTCCGACATGTTAGATCTAGCCAGAACCAGCATAGTAAACATTGATTCAGACTTTCTGGGGGTTAATTCTGCAGTACATGAGCCACATTTTTAAGTGTATGCAGCCTGACCCAGTCATTGGATCTTATTCTAAGGAAATAATTAATGGAAAAGGATATTTAAAGAACATTTCTCACAATAGTAAAAGCTTGAAATATGAGTGTTCATCACTAGTGGAATGATTAAATTAGGGTGCATATAGACAGTGGAATACTCTGAAACTGTTACAAATGGTGATGTAGCTGTAAAGGAAATTGGCTATACTATATTCTTCAGTAAACAAGGTAAATTAGAAAGTATTATATGTTTTATAGTATGAACCTATTTTTGAATAAAATGGTATACAACTATATCTCTACATAGAAGAGTGTCTGGATGAAGGGAAGGAGATGTGTATATATATAGTGTGTGTGTATACACATAAATATGGACATACATATATAAAAGTGTGTATATATATATATCTTTATAAATTATTAGCAGTGGTTTAGAAATAATTTTTTAGTTTTTTTTTTTTGAGACAGGCTCTTGACAGTGTCTTGCTCTGTCACCCAGGCTGGAGTGTAGTGGCACAATCATAGCTCACTGCAGCCTCAAATTTCTGGGCTCAAGCAATCCTTCTGGCTCAGTCTCCTGAGTAGCTGGGATTACAGGTGCATGTGCCACTGTGCCTGGCTTATTTTAAAACTTTTTTTAGAGATGGAATCTCTCCAGGTTGCCCAGGCTGGTCTGGAACTCTGGGCAATCCTCCCATCTCAGCCTCCCACAGTGCTGGGATTATATGCATGAGCCACTGCACCTGGCCTTCAGTTTTTACTTTAAAATTTTGTGTGCAAATATTTGAAAGTGAGCATCTATTTAATAAAATAATAAAATAGGCCAGGCGTGGTGGCTCATGCCTGTAATCCCAGCACTTCGGGAGGCCGAGGTGGGCAGATCACGAGGTCAGGAGACCTGACCTCATCCTGGGTAACACGGTGAAACCCTGTCTCTACTAAAAATACAAAAAATTAGCCGGGCGTGGTGGCCGGTGCCTGTAGTCCCAGCTATTCAGCAGGCTGAGGCAGGAGAATGGCATGAACCTGGGAGGTGGAGTTTACAGTGAGCCAAGATCGCGCCACTGCACTCCAGCCTGGGCGACAGAGCGAGACTCCATCTCAAAACACACACACACACAAAAGACGGTATTTCCATTTTGGAAAAATATTAATATTTATATATATAGTCATATGGCAAAACTTCATATAACCCTTGTAGCTATTTACTTTCCTTGGATGTAACTCTCAGGGTAATTTTTTTTTGTTTTGTTTTGAGACGGAGTCTTGCTCTGTAGCCCAGGCTGGAGTGCAGTGGCAAGATCTTGGTTCACTGTAAGCTCCACCTCCCGGGTTCACGTCATCCTGCCTCAGTCTTCTGAGTAGCTGGGACTACAGGCACCCGCCACCATTCTGTATTTTTAGTAGAAAAGGGGTTTCACCGTGTTAGCCAGGATGGTCTTGATCTCCTGACCTCGTGATCCACCTGCTTTGGCCTCCCAAAGTGCAGGGATTACAGGCGTGAGTCACCATGACCGGCTCTCTCAGGGTAATCTTAATGGAGCTGTTTATTCACTGGATAGTGGACTGTCCATATCTTAATTCTGGTATTTTCTTCTTCCCATTGGATGGTAAGGCTGCATGTACACATCACAGCTGAAGTTCAGGCAGCAAGAACACTGGACTTGGAGTCAGAAGGCCTTGGTTCAGCATCAGCTCCTCCTCTTTGAGTTTCTGTTTCTTCCTCAGTAAAATTGGGCTTCATTTATCATGCAATAAACATGTATTGAGTATGACTGTGTTCAGTCCCTGTGGCTGGGTGCTAGGGGCCCGAACATCTGTACTGCTTCTCTCAAGAGTGGTAATGAGAGGATCAATTCCTAAATGCATAAAAATATAACAGGGAACGGAATTCCAGGCACTGAGTTGTGCTTTCTGCAGCTTCATTAAGTAGAGGAAATGAAACTGGATTCATTATGAAACAAGTGTTATAATACAGTGGCTAAGAACTCAGGCTCAGTAACCAAATTGCCTAAGTTCAAATCCTGGCTCCACCAGAATTTGGAGGATGTTGCTGAACCGCTCCTCAATTCAGTTTCCTCTGCCTGTAAAATGGGAGTAAGAACTACAGATCTCCTCATGTGGTTGTTGTGAGGACTTCATGAGTTATTATGTGTAAAACTCTTAAAGCAGAGCGTAGCACATAGTGCTCAATAGACATTAGCTGTGATTGTTATTATTTGGGATGTACAACACATCAGACCACATGTTTCTAACACAGATATGACCAAGTTGATATCAGAGAGTGATCTGGTTGTGATAATTTTCTCTCTACTTGTGGACAAGCTTCATTCTTGTCATCTGGCCAATGAAGTCAATGTCCACTCACTTACTTGCTGGTCCATGAGCATCTTCCCAAAGCTTTTTAGCTAGAGGAGGGAGCCTCAGAAGCAACTACTGGAAACTCCAGACCAGCCCCCCAGGCCTGTGTGGAGAAGAAGATGGGGGTAGTCAGCTCCCTACTAGGAACTACTGATTCTGTCCATTATTTCAAGAGGTATAATGTGTTTATCGTCTTTCTCCAATCATGCATATCTTCATTCCCAAAATCTTTACATGGTCTGTCATGGCTGTTAGATTTACAGTCATTCTATTCACGTTTAAAATTGTTTCTTTTTTCTTTCTTTTTTTTTCTTGAGACGGAGTCTGGCTCTGTCGCCCAGGCTGGAGTGCAGTGGCACGATCTCGGCTCACTGCAAGCTCCGCCTCCCAGGTTCACGCCATTCTCCTGACTCAGCCTCCCGAGTAGCTGGGACTATAGGCACCCACAATCACGCCCGGCTAATTTTTCTATTTTTAGTAGAGATGGGGTTTCACCGTGTTAGCCAGGATGATCTCGATCTCCTGACCTTGTGATTCGCCCGCCTCGGCCTCCCAAAGTGCTGGGATTATAGGCGTGAGCCACCACGCCCGGCCTAAAATTTCTTCTAAATGATTTATGCAATCTGGGTAAATTAAGGAAATGGTCCTTATATTGAGCATTTGTGTTTAGCCAATATTTTTTATTTTTAAAATTTTTTTTGAGATGGAGTCTTGCTCTATTGCCCAGGCTGGAGTACAATGGTGTGATCTTGGCTCACTGCAACCTCTACCCTCTGGGGTCAAGCAATTCTCCTGCCTCAGCCTCCTGAGTAGCTGGGACTACAGGCATGTGTGATCATGCCCAGTTAATTTTTGTAGTTTTAGTAGAGACAGGATTTTACCATGTTGGCCAGGCTGGTCTTGAACTCCTGACCTCAGGTGATCTGCCCACGTGGGCCTTCCAAAGTGCTGGGATTGCAGGTGTGAGCCACTGTGCCCGGCCTAGCCAATATTTTTAATCATACTGAAAGTGCCTTTGCAAAATTATGACAGTAAAAAAAATCTGACATAGCTGATTCCATCTTGCTTCTAACCTGTAAGCTGTCCTCATACATTCCCAGGCATAGGCCACAGCTAACTTGGGAGGAATTTAGTTCATAGTCTAACCCTAAAGCAAGGATTGTAATATTCCCTTTCCAAAACTATTCCCTCCTTGTTTGAACACCAAACTACCTTTGTAACAGGATTAAGAGAGGTCTGAACTTTGCTAAGATAAAGGCATAGTTAAATGATTACCTGCCATTTTTCCAGAGGTCACAAGATTTCTAACCTCTCCATCACTCCTATAGATAACACCACTATTGTAAAACTTAAGATTTGTGTTTGAGGTATTGTTCATACCCTGCATTCTGATGGACCAGCTGCCACCACCCAGTCTGGCTCATCAGGTCCTGTGGCACTTACTCAGGAACTGACTCAGTGCAAGAAGACAAACTTCGACTCTCTATAATTTCATCCCTGACCCAACCTATCAGCATTCCCCATTCCTTAGCCCTCTGCCCACCAAACTATCCTTAAAAGAAAACCTTAGGTGGGCCCGGCGCGGTGGCTCATGCCTGTAATCCTAGCACTTTGGGAGGCTGAGGTGGGCGGATCATGAGGTCAGGAAATCAAGACCATCCTGGCAAACACGGTGAAATCCCATCTCTACTAAAATTACAAAAAAATTAGCTAGGTGTGGTGGCAGGTGCCTGTAGTCCCAGCTACTGAGGAGGCTGAGGCAGGAAAATGATGTGACCCCGGGAGGTAGAGCTTGCAGTGAGCTGAGATCGTGCCTCTACACTCCAGTCTGGGTGACAGAGTGAGACTCCAGTCTCAAAAAAAAAAAAACAAAAACAAAAAAAAACCAACCAAACAAACAAAAAAACAAACAACAAAACAATAGGATCTGAATTTTCAGGGAGATTGATTTGAGTAATAACACACTCCTGTCCTCCAGCGTGGCTGGCCCTACAATTGTTAAACTCTTCCTCTATTGCAAAACCTTCATTGGCTTTTCTGGGTAACAAGCAAGATGAACCCGCTGGGCATTACAGTATGTATTTCAAATACTTTTTGCCAATTTATTATGTATTTTTCAAATTGTTTTTCAAACATAAAGACTTTTTCCTCTCCAAGGATAATTCTGCAGGTACCTTTTCCCTATTTGCTATACTAGGGTAGGTCAAGGAAAGCTTTCTGGAAGAAGTGACTTGTAATCCATAACTCCATGGGTGAGAAACACAAACCAGGTGACGAGAGCAGGGAATAGTGTCGCCAGCAGGGGGAACAGCATGTGCTTCATCTCTCTGTCATGATACAGCCTCTACTTTCAGCACATCTGCTCCACTCACCTGTTGCTACTGAGTTGGACATTTTTGATCCCATATGACTGGCTTGCCCCTGCCCCATCCTGGCCTTGACTATTCCTTTTAGCTTAGTTCCTTCCCCCCTTGAACTGATCTATCTCAAGGGTCTAATTTTTTAGTCCAAGGTGAGAATTTGTTGTGTTAGCTCATCCAGTCATAGGTTGGCTGCGTAAGGTGGAGTAATGGTGGCATAGCTTAGGTAATAAGAAATAAAATGATGACACTTCTCCTCTTTTAGCAGGAGCTTCAGGTGTCAGTCTCCAATAAAAAGGCATGTTGTTTTGGTACGTAATGACTGACCTTTATAGTTCCGGATGCACCTGCTTTCCCACCTTCAGTCTATATGTCAATGCAGGACTCAATGAACACTCATATATGATCAGTAAGTTAGCTTAGACAAAGCTATGCTGTGGTAAAAAATAATGCTAAAATCTCAATGGCTTCAAACATTTTGTGCATGTTACTTGGCCAACACTAACTGGCTTAGGCTCTGCTGTATTCCACACCTTCTCACTCTGGGTCACAAGCTTAAGGAGAGTCCTTATCTGGACATGCTGCTCTCCCGGTACAAGGAAAAGAGAAAGATGGTGGAACCACATGACAGCTCTTAAAGCTTATGTTTGGAAGGGGCATTCATTACCTTTGTTCACATTCCATTGCTCAGAGCAATTCCATGGCCAAGCCTGAGGTCCTTCTGGAGGAAGGATACTCCTTCCATAGGAAGCGCCAGCAAATATTTTGAACAAATGAACATTCTTGCCTAGTTTATCACAGCCAGTATCATTTGTCCCATTTTGCAAGTGAGAAAACTAAGGCTAAAAGAGGTAATTTGATCAAAGTCATAGGTTAGAATTCAGCTTGAATGGCTTCAAAGTTGGTCCAGACAATCTCTTTTTCAGATTTTTTTTTTTTTTTAAACACTATGTAGGCGCCTGGAATTGTAATTTACTCAGGGACACAACCACTTCCCTTCAGCTCCAGAAACAACTCCGTGAAAATCTCTAGAGCTAAACCACCCATGAAATCTTCCTGGAAGGATGTGAAGCTAGAAAGGGGTCAGGCTGGGGGAGCTGTTCCTTTGAGAGTTGAGTCTTCCATTTAGTGATTTTTTAAAACTGTTGAAGTATTTATCTGCTTGATGGGTTTGTAGATCCTTTGTACGGAGATCACCTATCATCATCACCTTTTGTTTTGTGTGTATGTGTGAGACAGAGAGAGAGAGAGAGAGAGAGAGAGAGAGAGAGAGAGTCTGACTTCCTCGAAGCTTTTTTCTAGGTAATTTTTGATACTTCAGATTGCAATGGGTATCTATATTCACAAAAATTATTAGTGGGGTGGAAAGAGTATCTTTAGGTAGGAAGAGGGGCGCAGAAGTTAGACAGCCAACACAGAGAATCCTTCAATGTTTGTAAATATCTGTTAATTTCTCTTGCCTCCGGCGCAGTTTTCCCGGTTTCAGAGCCTCTGTTACCAGGTGCACGTGCAGTGTGATAACAATGGATAAGTTTTGACTTGCCAGGTTTATGCGTGTCATTCAGGGCAGGGGATTAGGGTTAGGCCAGTGAGTGACCTAGGACACTCAATTTAAGGAGGCACTCGCACAAACCTGAGAGTTCGCGCGCCTCACCACAGCCCAGCCCTGTGTCTGTTAAGCATTTATCATAATCCTGCTTTATGAAAATGCCCGGCGAGCTTACCTGTGAGGATCACCTGCCACTCCCCTCCTCCGCCAGACAACGCGGAGGGCCTCCCTGCCCTGTGACTTTGCTCCGCCGGTGACAATTTCCAGGTTACTGTGTAGGAGCGTCTGGCGCAGGATCGTGTGCGGAAGACCGAGGGAGGGAGTGTGCGTGTGAGCCTGTCAGGCCGGGCGGGTCCATATCCGGGTGGACCGGGTGGGTGGGGCTGCCCCTCCCTCTAGGTCCCGAGGTGGATAGGGGGTGGGGAGTGACGCGCAGAGATTCCCTTTCGCCCCTTCGGATCCAAGAGAGGGTGGCAGAAGGAATGCGTGGGTGACTCGGCGTGGATTTAGGGCGTGCCCACCTTGCAGATCGGCCTCCTAGAGTGTCCCCAGGGCCTAAGAGGCCGCAGGGACACGAAGGAAGAGAAGGAAGAACCCGAAGAAGGCTCGCTTAGCCGGCCACCCGCTCCGAACTTGCCCGGGAAACTAGTGCGGAGGGAGGGGCCGGGCCCTGGCCGCGGCGGGAGGAGGGGCGGCCGCAGCTGCATCCAGCCCCGTTGGCTTCCTTCCCAGCTCTCCTTCGCCGCCTCCTCCTCTTCCTCCTGTATGAGTCAGGCATTTCCCGGGGATTTGGAGCAGCCACGCGCGGCCCGGGCGCCCGGAGCTGTAGCAGCAGCAGCAGCCGCCGTGCCGGGGCCGCCACCGCGGCGGGCACCCGCGTCCCGGGCGCGCACGGACCATGGAGAGGGCAACCCAGGGCACAGACGGCGGCGGGGGTAGCAACAGCAGCAGCCGCAGCAGCAGCCGTGCTACCTCGGCGGGCTCCTCGCCCTCCTGCTCTCTGGCGGGCCGGGGGGTCTCCAGCCGGTCTGCAGCGGCCGGGCTCGGCGGCGGGGGCAGCCGCAGCAGCCCGGGCTCTGTGGCCGCTAGCCCGTCCGGGGGAGGCGGCCGCAGGAGGGAGCCGGCGCTCGAGGGCGTGCTCAGCAAATACACCAACCTCCTCCAGGGCTGGCAGAACAGGTAACGCGCCAGCCGCCCGCGCCACCGCGCGCCGCTGTGTGTGTGTGTGTGTGTGCATGCATGTGTGTTTGTATGTGTGTGCGCGCGCGCGATTGTGCCTCCAGCGAACCGGGTGATGCCTCCCAACGGTGCCCTTCCTGCGTCCCTGCTCCCCTCCAGGTGGGGTTCTCAGGATGGGGCGCGCCGTGTCTCCACCTCGGGACCACACCGCAGTGGCGGGGAGGGAGGCGAGAGCCCTGGTTTTCTTCTGTGCTAGCACCTGCAGAGACTGGAGTGGCAGGAGGAGCGTGCTGGTCCCCGTGCTCTGCTTGTCCGTGGTTTCCCGCACCCCTGAGGAATGACTGGGAAAGGGAGGCAGAAGGGGCGTGCTTTGTGCCTGGGTGAAAAAACGTTAGCACGTCTGCTCCGATTACAGTAATTCTCTAAATAACATAGTTCATTTTAAAGTTTGGTGTTTCAGAACACCACCACCATCAACAAAAAACCTGCCACTTTGACAAGTGTACATACTCCTGCCCCAGTTTGTGCCTTGCAACCTCCGATGTCTGTAATGGAAATTTTGTTTAAAAACAGAGGCCAGGCGCGGTGGTTCACGCCTGTAATCTCACTACTTTGGGAGGCCAAGGCGGGCGGATCACGAAGTCAGCAGTTCGAGACCAGCCTGGCCAACATAGTGAAACCCCGTCTCTACTAAAAATACAAAAAATTAGCCAGGCGTGGCGGCGCACGCCTGTAATTCCAGCTACTCAGGAGACTGAGGTAGGAGAATCGCTTGAACCCCGGATGCGGAGATTGCAGTGAGCCGAGATCGCGCCGTTGCAAACTAGCCGGGCCAACAGTGCGAGACGCCGACTTAAAAGAAATAAATAAATAAAATAAAAAGAAAGAAGAAATACCCTCGCCCCTTTTAATATTAATAGCAATTTACATTATTATCATTATTTCCTCTTCAGGTCCCTTTTGAAGTTTCGTGCTCACTTCTCCCGCACAGTTGAGAAGCCTAGTTGTGGACACGTGGAAGGATGGGGCTGTCGAGGAAAGGGGCTCAGGAGGCACTTGGAACGGTGGTAGTGTGTGTGATCTGCCATCCTGAGGAAGACAGGAACAGATGTGGCACTGCTGTTTACGTTTTGTTTTTTTTTTCAATTTGTTTTTCAAAAGCAAGCCAGAGGGAAATACAAGTGTCAGCGCGAGGAGAGCAATGCTTTTTGGAGAGGTGGTTGGTGGGGTATTTTGTCCTGCCTATTTAATCGTCTCCAGATCTTAATAGACTTGGGGCCCTTAAGGATGTTTGTGAGATTTGAATCATATCCTGGAAAGTTGCTTATCTCTGTTGCATGGACGATATTACTTGGTTATCTCTTCCTGTAGATTGTTTGGAAATGTTCAGATTTGCTTCCATCTGAAACATATCAGCCAGTTATTTGCACGAAACTCAACTTGGAGGAAGAGGACTTTTGAAGTATGGAAACCGAGTCGTTTCTCTATTGATATTGCACATATAGGACTTTCTGAGTCACCTGGGCTTCCTGGGAGATGTGTTACTATGTTAGTGAAAGTTGCACTTAACTTTTGAATCCTTTTATTTCTCAAAATAGTCCTAGTGTCTGCTGTTGCCTCTCCCTTTCCCCTTTCAATTCGTGAAAGCTGAAAAAGAATAGGTAGAATGCGTAGGTACAGGGAGAGGTGAGATGACTAAATCTGATTTCAGTTCTTGGTAATTATGTCTTGTTAATGGCAACTCAAGGTGCCTTGTCAGTAACAGCATTTTGTTGGTGTGTTGAGCAATCACTTTTATTGCTTTTTCTTCAAGTAGCTTATGAGGCCAACAGAACTTTTACCCTGGATTACGGTTATTTTATTCTTTACTTGCTGGGGAACAATATTTTACCTGCAATGTGTATTAAAGGATTTGTTCTTTGGAGTGGATTTAGGAGGCATTGGAGTAACATTCTTTTGCATTATTTTAAACCCATTGTGGTGTTTAGGTTAGAGGCAACGTTGAGAAGAAGCACATTTAATGCCATTAGTAATACCTATGTGATCGCAGGCTACCTAGGTGAAATGCTGTATTATGTACACTCCTGAGCGTGCTTAAGTGATGTCTCATCTTTATTGAATTTGTTTACTGTGATTTATAGCTGTCTGCCTATGTTTGTTCTTACCACAGTAGACTCACCGTTCTCCAAGTCTACCACTGACTCCATAAGCATTGTCTGTAATTGTTAACATCTCAGTGTCAGGGTTTCTATTTCCCACATTGTGTTCTCTGAACGATGGCGGAGGGTCCATTAGTGGTTTGGAGAAGATTTACGATGACTCTGTGATTGCAAAATTCTCCCTTCTCTAGGGGTCTTATGAAAGGAGAGCTGGATTAGTGAAAAGGAAGAGAGAAAAGGATAAAAATAGAAACTTTGAAAATGTATTCATTTGTTCATTTGTTCAATTAATTTATCTATTCAGAGACTGTTTTATTGAGCACCTACTATGTGGCAGGCACTGTTCTAGGAGCTGGAGCTACCACCCTTCCCTGGTCCAGGGAAATGCCTTAGTGCAAATAGCCAACTGATTCATGCTGCCCTTCTTTCTGGGCCTCATAGCATCTTCCTTCGGCAGTTCTTTTCAAAGTGCCCACAGTTAATGACAAACCTATAGCAACCAAGTTCTTGGTTCATCCTCTCAGGCTGCTGTGCAATTGTAACGCTCTTCACCAGCTCCCAGGACTTAACACCAATCACCCACTAACAGTTTGTACCCTGGTGTCCTCTTGCGTGTTCTCAAGTTGCTGTAAAACTTACATTTTAACATTTGGCATCATACTCTGCCTTTATTTGTGGCCTCATCCTCATGCCCTTAGGAAGGCCGTTTGCGCCAGAATACAAAATAAATGACATAAAGAGAGGTCACAGAGAAGAAAACTGCATGATGGGAACGTGCTGAACTGAGGAGAGTAAATTCAGGACATTTGGCTCACACTCACTGGATGAGAATGTGAAATACTTAGAGTATGGGGAAAACATGTGTTAAGGGCTTTCTGTCATTCATTATAGATATTTAAAGAAAATATTTCAGGCATAATAACATTGTATAGATTTACAGGATGGCATTGAAGAGTCAGTGCGTCGATACAAATGAACAACAATAAAAAATCCAGAAAGTGGCAAGTGCTATGAAGGTTAAAAAAAGGTGATGAGATAAAGGTAAGTATTTGTAGCAATAATTTTAAGTGTGGGTCTAGTGTCTTTACTGCTATTCACATTTTAACTTAGAGCACTCTCTTATTATCCATCTTATCACTCATCTAGAGTGAACCAGGGGGAGAGTAAACCTCAAGAACTTGGGGAGGCACATGACATAGCACCTAGTTGGCCAGGATTAGAATTTCAGACTGGGTTCTGGTGGCCCAGAAGGATTTTAGGAAGGGAAGTGATCCTTATTTGGTCACTCTGGCTTCTGTGTAGAGATGAGATTTTCAACGGGCCAAAGCATGAAGCAGGGAGACCAGTTAGGAGCCTGGCTGAGTGGTTTAGGAAAGAGATACTGGTGGCCTGGGTTGGGGGTTGGCAGAGAGTTGGAGAGCCGGGATAGATCTGTTGTGGAGTGGGTGGAAATTGCCGATGAATTTGATGTGGAGGTGAGAGAGGGGCATGGATAACTCTTGATTTGTGGGTCTGAGAGGCTGGGAGGTTGAGACGTTCTTTGTGGAGATGAGGATCACAGGAGGGGAATGTGTTTGTGGGGAGGGTGAGGCTTGGCCAAGAGTTCTGTTTGGACTGTGTTCAGTTTGAGATGCCTACCCCTAGTAAGAAACTGGCTGTATGAACTTTCATTTGCCCTATGTCTAACTTTACTCTCAAACTAAAATAGAACTATTTTGGAGTTGCTGATAATATCAAGTATCTGAGCAAATAATTTCTAATCGGATCTAGAAATTGTTATTTAAATATCTAAGGGTTGCCATTGCCATTCACTTTTTCTTATTTGGAGAAAAGAAGACATTGCAAATGTGGAACCAACCTCCAGTTCTCTTTTTGGTGATGGGTGGGGTTGTAAGAACTCAATAAAATGCTAAAGGACAACAAATCTTGACTAGGATTAAGGAAGACAAGGCTGGGTGCATTGGCTCACACCTGTAATCCCAGCACTTTGGGAGGCTGAGGTGGGAGGATCACTTGAGCCCAGGAGTTCCAGACCAGCCTGGGAACCATGGTGAAACCCTGTCTCCACAAAATAAAAATATAAAAATTAGCCAGTTGTGGTGGCTTAGGCCTGTAGTCACTGCTGCTCAGGGGTCTGTGGTGGGAGGATTGCTTGAGCACCAGAGGTCAAGGCTGCAGTGAGCTATGATCACACCACTGGACTCCAGCCTGGGCAACAGCGGAAGACCCTGTCTCTAAAGTAGACATTTATTTGGGGAGGAAGAGTAGTGTGGACTTTGGATTCAAATCTTGATATCAACACTTAGCACGCATGTGACCATGGGCTAGCTCTTTAATTGCACTGGGCTTCTGTTTTTCTCTTCTGTTAAATGTGGGAAATGATGCTACTCTTTTCATTAGTTCAATGTGAAGATTAAATGAGATTATCGGTGTGTAAGGGACTGAGAATAGTACATAGCAAGATACCAATAATTGGTAGCTATTATTAGATCTTCAATTTGTCTGTTTTTAAGTAGGCACTTTCTGGTCCATAAAATTCTTGGTTTTTATTCTGAGTGCTGTGGTTACCCTGGGACCACATTAGCATAATTATCATAGAGTTCTTTGGGGAGAAGATGATTACTTTATTTTGAAGGGATCCTTTTAAAACTTGGCACCAAACATTTACAGCTCCCCTTCCCAGCCTCTAATTCCTATCTTCCTTTCCTATTTTATTTCTCTCTACATACCTTGCTACTATCTGACATGCTTTATATTTTCCTTTTTTTGGTCTCCCCACACTAGAGTATAAGCTCCCTGAGGACAGATAATTTTTTCTGTCTTTGTCACTCCTGTATCTCC